CGGAAAATTGTAGAGTTATGAGATGGGAAAAGCTTATTGAATTTAGAAATGAAAATTCTTTTACAATTTATGTGCACAGGTCTTGATTTCTTTTTCTGCCCAATATTGGTAGTTGTTGGTGTGTAGGCCATTAGACAAGTAACATTCTTAGCTTCCAAGTAAACAAAAACCTTTTAATCTCTGTAAAGATGGTTTGTTATAGGGTACCCTATAAAGATGAATTTTGTCTTCAACTCTTAATCTCGACTCTCTCCTAATTTGAATTCTTCAAACCAAGTGATGGATCGTTATATTATAGGGAGTTTTAATGAAACTCTTTTGGTATTGTTTTTTTAGGGAGTTAAGACCACTCTCTTCCTCATTTCATGACACATATTTCATGCTAAATAAATTAATTGTACGCATATACGAAGAGGGTAAAGTTATGAACTTATCCTTGTTGTTGAGAGCGAAAAAAAGTCATACTTATATGAGTACAAAATTGTGAGTTTTAATAAAACATTCTCTGTACTATTCATTTTTAACGAAAAATCATATTTTTACCTTTAAAAAGGGTGTTAGGCTTTTATAATGTTTTTATTTTTTTTAATTTACTCCTTAAATCTTTTATTGATGTTCTTGCTAATTATGATGAGAGTCCTTTGGTTTTAAGTTTTAGCTATTTTTTAAAAGAATAATAACTTTCTCGATTTAAAGAACATCATGTTCATGATCAGTATTTTTTTTCATCTATTAAAATTGTTTTGGAGTTATCGATTTCATTCGGATCCTATGATGAGAATTTTAGATGCATGCTTGAATCTTACACTAGAGATGATGATGAGTTGATTGGTGATGATAATCTCGTCTAACTCGATGAGATTTGGCCAAAATAGCGTTGCATGTTTTCTGCAAAATGGAACTAAGATTCGAGTTCGCCGCCAAGCCAATTTTGATTAGTTCTTGAGATTCAGTCCAAGAGAGTTTGGTGCAACAAACACACTCTGAACGATCATTCATGTGTTTGGTTTAACAATATGCCTTCCAGCATTATTTCCAGACTAACCCTTGATATATATATGACTTTAGATCTGTCGCGAATCCACATTGTAATTTTATTTTAATTAATCGAAAGAAAGAAAAGAAAAACTAATGAACAAAGTTATCTAGCTCTACTTCTTGAGCCATTGTTAGACTTGGGTCAGACCCGAACTATAAGCACAATAGGCCCAAATCCTTAGGTTTGTCACGATAAGGTTTCGACCAACTTTGAGAGCCCACATTGTGTCCGCCAAAAGTCCCCACAAAAAGTGGGCCTACAGTCCTTCAACTTGCCATAATATCCAAAACAAAATACAGAAAATGAAACTTCACCCAGATTCCAGAGCAGAACTTGCCAAAAATGTGGCTCTAATCCACAACCTCCTCCCACAACTCCCTGTCCTTTCACAACAACAAATTTCTATTGGAGGCAGAGTGTCTGCCCTTTTATTTGGATGCCATTCCATCCCTCCTATTTGTACGGTCACGGTTAAGCCAAGTCAATATTTTATATTCCTATTATTTTTTATCTTATTATATTTATAGAAAAATCTATATAAAATGTTGAAGTGGCTTAACCGCAACCGTATAAAATAGGAAGGGATCGGAAGGACATCCAAACAGGAGGGCAGACAATCTGGCTCCATTTCTATTTTCTCTTTGCAGGCACAACCCATAACACAAAAGAATGGGAACACTGCTGAAAAATATCTTATCCTATAATCCTATGTTCTAAAAAGCAAGGGGGAAAAAGCATAATTTCTTGGGGTATTCGTAGCATGGATACTTGTTGTTACTATATCACTCGCTTCATAACATGTGAATTTGTTTTAAAGTTGATATATCGGAGATTGATGCCTATCAATCTTATCGTGCACCCTTATTATAACAATAGAAATAATATCCCACACGATTTGTGTTTCACTCGCTTCATAACATGTGAATTTGTTTTAAAGTTGATATAGCGGAGATTGATGCCTATCAATCTTATCGTGCACCCTTATTATAACAATGGAAATAATATCCCACACGATTTGTGTTTCAGTCGCTTCATAACATGCGAATTTGTTTTAAAGTTGATATATCGGAGATTGATGCCTATCAATCTTATCGTGCACCCTTATTATAACAATGGAAATAATATCCCACACGATTTGTGTTTCCGGTACACTTAAAACTTTTTGAAAAAGAAGAAAGAAAACAAATATCAAAAGGAAATCCAGTCCTCACAACCTCATTGGCCGCTTGAAATTTGATGTGGCAGACTTACATGCTGCCAATTATCTTATCCTCTCTGCCAACTCATATCCCATAAAATAATGCTATTTTAGTCTCTCATGAGTCCTCAAATCTGCCCACCAAAACGACCGTGTATAAATACAAGCTGGTGGTTTCTTTTTCACAGCACTTGAGCTCAAGCTTCCACTTTGGCCACTCCCACCACCTCTCACTCTCTCTTCCTCACCCACTTGTGAAAAAGATCAGAAAAAACCCCAATTAAAAAAAAAATACAGAGAATTAATGGCTCTTCAGGCTGCTTCTGTGGTTTCTTCTGCATTTTCCGTTCTTAAAGAGGTTTGTTTCGAGCTAATATCGCCTAATCCTCTATTTATTCCAAGAAACGTTCCTTCTCGTTTTTATCGACCAAGAAGCTAATGGGGTTTGATTTTATTTATTTTCTTGGAATTGTATGTTTTTTCAGGGAAAGACAAGTGCTTCTTTCAAGGATTCAAGTCTGTTTGGAGTCTCTTTCTCGGACAATCTCAAGGCTGAGTTCAGTTCTGTTGCATTAAGCTGCAAGGTATCTACTCTGCAAATACGCAATGTGTTTCCTCTTGTTGCAAAAGCAAAACAAAAAGCACTTCTGCTTATAAACGTTTTTAATGGAAGCGCATCAGAATTTTTTATATAAACCGATAATCACTTTTAGATTGTTTCTGTCAAAAGATGCTTTAACTTTTGGTTATCTGAAAATGCTTTTAGCCATTCAAAAGCGCTTCCGCACAGACCATTTTGGTTGTAACTTGTAGTAGTTGCTGAATTTGGAGTTGTATTGCATATATGTTGAATTTTTACCAAATTTGTGTGTAAAAAAACACAATGGCTGTGACTACAGAGGGAATTCAAGCCAGTGAGAGCCCAGACAACAGCAACAGCAAGCCCAGCAATTAACAGGGGAACATCAGAGGGAAGGAAAACTCTAAGAAAGGGCAGTGTGATTGTCACCGGCGCCTCTTCCGGACTCGGTCTAGCCACAGCCAAGTCTTTGGCCGAATCTGGAAAATGGCATGTAATTATGGCCTGCAGGGATTTCCTCAAGACTGAAAGAGCTGCCAAGTCAGCTGGCATGCCCAAAGAAAACTACACCATTATGCATCTAGACCTCGCTTCCCTCGACAGTGTGCGCCAATTTGTCGATAACTTCAGGCGATCTGAGAGGCCGCTTGATGTGCTTGTGTGTAATGCTGCTGTTTATCAGCCAACTGCTAAGGAACCCTCATTCACTGCTGAGGGATTCGAACTCAGTGTTGGGACTAACCATCTCGGACACTTCCTTCTTTCGCGGTTGCTGATGGAAGATTTGAACAAATCCGACTTCCCATCAAGGAGACTCATCATTGTTGGCTCAATTACCGGTACTTGATTCAAATGAAGAAGATAATTCTACAAAATGCACTCTTCTTTCTAGAATGTGTGATAAAAAAATGGAATTGCTTTTCAGGGAACACGAATACCTTAGCCGGAAATGTACCTCCAAAGGCCAACCTTGGGGACTTGAGGGGACTTGCAGGAGGCTTAAACGGTCTAAACAGCTCGGCCATGATCGATGGTGGAGACTTTGACGGTGCCAAGGCCTACAAGGACAGCAAAGTCTGCAACATGCTCACAATGCAAGAGTTCCACAGGCGCTACCATGAGGAAACCGGGATAACATTTACTTCCCTTTACCCCGGCTGCATTGCCACCACTGGTTTGTTCAGGGAGCACATTCCCTTGTTCAGGCTTCTGTTCCCTCCATTCCAAAAGTACATCACCAAGGGCTACGTCTCAGAAGAAGAAGCCGGAAAGAGACTTGCTCAGGTAAGAACTTAAAGCTTGTAAACGGCGCATTATGTTTTTCAATCTCTCTTGTGCATGAACTCATTTCCTTGCTGTTGATCACTCTCAGGTTGTGAGCGACCCAAGCTTGACAAAGTCGGGAGTCTACTGGAGCTGGAACAAGGATTCGGCTTCCTTCGAGAACCAACTGTCCCAAGAAGCTAGTGATGCGGAGAAGGCTCGCAAGGTGTGGGAGGTCAGTGAGAAGCTTGTGGGTTTGGCCTGAGTATAGAAACTTGATGTTTTACCTCGGAGGCGGAGGATGTCACCCGAGATCAGGTCCATTTGTAGAGTGCAGATTTTGAAATCAAATGCTCTACTGTCATAGACAATTTTTCTCGTGTGGATGACTAGTGTTAGTAACAAATGAGAATAAAATCACTCACCTCTGTTGCAAACTGCAGATCATATTTCTTGTTACAAGTTAACCTTTTACTCTTATTTGCTTTAATATGTACATAACAAAAGTATCAGACTGTCGTAAAGAAGTAAACGTCAATCATTTAAAGCTCATAACCAGGAAACCGTGCTTCAGACGGCTCAGTCATGTCAAAAAGGAGAAGAGCCATTCCACCAACACCTTCGAATAGAGAATAGGGCCGATCTCCTCCATGCATCATCCCCCTCTGATATGTAGAAACTCATAGCAGTGTGATAAAATTATAGTGAGAGAAAATGTAGAGAGAGAAGTTGTAGAAAATGATTCTATTCATTCATTATAAACTGTGAGTACATTCAGTATAAATAGCTCAGACTCTAACAACCATATCTTAACAACTAAGTAAAGTAAGTAAAGTTCTAATAAGGTACATCACATCCTATTATATCCTTAACACGCCCCCTCAAGCTAAAGTTAGGAACTCTAATTGAAAGCTTGGAAGTCAATTCTGCAAAACGAGCAGAGGGCAAGGATTTAGTAAAAATGTCAGCCAGTTGAAGAGTAGAAGAAACATGATGCACACTGACTTGGCCACCAAGAACTTTTTCATGAATATAGTGGTAGTCAATTCCACATGTTTGGTCCGAGCATGAAACACAGGATTAAATGCTAATGCAATAGCACTTTTGTCGTCACAGAAGATGGCATGAGTCCGGAGAAGAGGGAAAGAAAGATCTTGCAGGATTTTACAAACCCAGCTAAGTTCAGCAACTGTGTTGGCTAGAGGCCGGTACTCAGCCTCAGTAGAAGACCGTGCAATAGTGCATTGCTTCTTTGCACTCCAGGATATTAGATTAGGACCCAGAAAAACACAGTAACCGCTCATTGATCTTCTGTCAACAGGGCAACCAGCCCAATCTGCATCAGACCACGCAGTGAGACATTGTGAACCTGGTGTAAACCATAGACCAGCATCAAGTGTCCCCTTCAAATACCGAAGGATTCGTTTTACTGCCTGCAAGTGAATAGTGCGAGGAGAATGCATGTACTGACAGACTTGATTCACAGCAAATGCCAAATCAAGCCGAGTCCAGGTTAGGTACTGTAAAGTTCCAACAGTTGATCTGTAAAAAGTGGGATCAGGGAGAAGAGAGCCTGAGTGATCCAATCTGGCAGAACCAGCAGGAGTGGAACAAGGCTTGACACCAAGCATATCAGTTTTCTTTAACAGATCAAGAGCATATTTGGATTGGTGGATAAACAACCCTGTAGCCGATCGTTGGACTTCAATACCCAGAAAATAGTGAATATCACCTAAATCCTTCACAGGAAACATGAGTTGTAACTGAGCAATAAGAGATTGACAAACGGAGGATGAACTACCAGTAATGATAATATTGTCAACATACACTAAAATGAAAATGATAGAAGAATCTTGTTTGATAAACAAACTTGTGTCAGAAGATGAAGAGGAGAAACCTAAGGAGAGAATGGCCGTATAGAATGCTTCATACCAGGCCCGAGGAGCCTGTTTTAGACCGTAGAGAGATCTTTTAAGTTTGCATACATGTCGAGGGTTGAGGGGATCAACAAATCCCGGTGGCTGAATCATACCGTTTCTTTGAGGTCCAAAGCGGAGCTCTTGAGTGTGTCGGAGAGTGTTTTGTAGGGAAGGTGGAGGAGCTCCATGAACGAGTCTGTGGGCCTTTGGGACGCAGGTCCCGCGTCCGCCGGTGGCTCTGCCACGAAGTCTGGCATTTCGTTCGGGAAAAATAGGTCCCCCATTCCCCTTGCCTGTAAGATATCGCTTTACTATTGTTCACTGGGTTCTCTGCAACAAGTGTAAGAGCAACGGAGCTCACTGTCCAAAGGGTTCAGTTTCATTTGGTTTGGTTCAATTTTGTTTTGATTTTTATCGGTTTAGTTTTATTTGGTCGGTTTTAGTACGGTGTTTTGATTTTTTTTATTTTATAAAATTTGATAATTTTTAATATGGAATTTAAAAAATAGGCTTGTATTGGTAGACTAATAATAAGAAAGAGTAAATTATAGCAATGGTCTCTCAATTCTAATCAAATTGGAGCAATGGTCTCTTAACTAACAATCAATTACCACTGATACCTCAACTTATCAAAATGTATAGCTATGGTCATTTTCATCAACTTTGTCAAAATTTTGTCAAAATGAGTTATGTTGAAATGACCATTGCTACAATTGGGGTCCTTCAACTTATCAAAATCTGTAGCTATGGTCATTTTCGTCAACTTCTTCATAATTTTGTCAAAACGAGTTATGTTGGAAGGACCATTGCTACAATTGGGTTAGAGTTGAGGAACCATTGCTCAAATTGAGTTAAAGTTGAGGAACCATTTCTCCAGTTGGATTAAAGTTGAGGGACCAATGGTAATAGATTTTTAGTTGAGGGATCATAGCTGCACATTTTGATGAGTTGAGGAATTAATGGTAATGAAATTTTAGTTGAGACACCATTGATCCAATTGAGTTAAAGTTAAGGAACTATTGCTACAATTTACTCAATAAGAAAATAGAGAAAGTGGGAAGATGGTCATTTACAAGATCATATAAACCAATCTTATGCTATTAACAACCTCAATTGCAAAGAAATGATGACCATATCCATTCAAAAAGCAAACAAAAAGAGAAGCTCTTCCAAATTCCAAAGCCTTCCAAAACTTTCCTCTATAACCAATGAAATATCCTCCCTAATTGAACCAAGTATGCTTCTTGAAAAAGTTCTAAGCTTAGTTTCAAACTTGGCAACCAAGCTTCACAAAAATGAGTATACATTCATAAAGTGTAAAGGATTCGAGTCGGTTCGGTTCGGTTTTTTTTTCAATCTTTCAATTTCGGTTAGGTGTTCGGTCCACTTTTTCGGTTTTTTTAACCCACCCCTAGCTCTCTTGAACTAGTTACACGTGTGCAGGCTGCTGCTACTTGGCGCTTGATTTGCGGGAATTTTGGGACAATGGGAAAATTTTCACTAGAACATGGACCAGAACGTGTCATACACACAAGTTGATTTTTTTTTTCGTGTTCTATCAATTGTATTATGATAATTAGTGTTCTGAGCGTGTTTCTGGTACATTGAAAATTCTTTTGGGGAAAAAAATAGTCATGGATCTACCATCTCCAAGTCCTTATCTCCTATCTAATAATTTGACATGTGTGCATTTCCGAGTTGGTTTTTGTCTTTGAAATTTTAGTTTTTATTTTATTAATATTATTAGAGTTAACGGTGTTAATACCAAGTTTAACATAGCTGAGTTAGAGCGTCAGTTTTTGCACTCGAGACCCCAGGAGTATCCTCTCTCGGATCCTCAAATTGTATCCGTTCATTGTATATCGTGCGATCAGTTTTCATCAGGTACTATTCTTATTTAATTTAACATAATAATATTTAAAATGATTTCTGACCTTCACGATGTACGATAAACGAACATGATTTAAAGATCTCTAAAATCCTCACAAAGAGGATCCGTAGAGGAAAACATTTATCAAAGCAAGAAGCTAGGCTCGGGCCAATGCCAAACAAAATGAGCAGAACAAACTTGGGCCAGGCCGCAAAGTATGGATGAACCGAAGTTTGTTGATCCGAAAAGACAATCCAACCCCAAAACGCAAAACTTTACTTACCCGCCCGCACGCCGTTGCTTCTCTCTACTCGGTCGTCACTATCGTCGTAAACCCTAAAACCCTAAAACCCTAGCCTTCTCATTTGCAGAAGCCTCCCGTCCCGAGAGCCCCCAAATATCTCTCTGGTAAGAAATCGCCCAACCAAAACCCTAATTAGGGTTTCCATCCACACATGCTTGCTTATATTTACTATTAACTATAATTTTTACATTGAATATTGGAATTTTCAGCAAAAAATAATGGGGAAGAAGAGAAAGCAGAGCGAGGCCGCGGTGCCAGAAAAGAAGGAGGAGGAGGTTGCTCCGGAGAGGCCGAAGCGAACGCTTTCGGGTTGGAAGGAGAAGAAGGACGATGATGAAGTGAAACCGATTGAATCGACGGGAGTGTTTAGGAACAAAGAGAAGGTCTTGGTTACTTGCTCTCGTCGCATTAGTTACAGGTAAAATTAATCAAGCAGCAATTTTTTCTCTGCTACGAGCTCGCTCGGTGTTGTCTTATTCGAAACTCGAAGGATTTGTTGAAACTAATTGTGAACTGATTGGAAGTTGATTGAAAAAGTAGTGGGGTAGTGTATGAGGAGTGTACTATGTTTCTATCTGTTATCAAATTTTGAAATTGTTGGGGGATATTAACAGTTCATGTGCGTTCGGAACCAACAGAGGGTTTCTGTAATAGTTGTAAATATGTGACCCTTAGATGAATTAATATGATAATAAGTTTTGTTTATATGATATATTGGTCTTTATAATTTGTTTGAGTATATATACTTGGGTGTGTGTGTGTTTGTATAAGTTTGTATATGATTGTATATATTATATATGCAGGTACCGACACCTGATGTTGAATGTGGTGGACCTGATGCCTCACTGTAAGAAGGACAATAAGGTGGATTCTAAATCAAGTAACGGCGTAACCCTTAACGAGCTGGTCGAGCTAAAGAATTGTTCTTCCTGTATGTTTTTTGAGGTTAGTTTTCTCATTGTTTCTTGCTGACCTTGTTTAGCATTTGTTATATGATATTAGTTTTGTACTACGTTTCATTTTAATTGGTGAATTGATATTTGAGTTTAACTGACACGTTTATATATCTGTGGATATTTGCTACCAGTGGGTTAAGTCTGTTAGTGTTAAAAGTTAATTGCGTGATGTTTTAATTGAGTGGGATTTTTATGACATTTTGGGTGTTTGAGATAGGGATACAAATAGCAAATTGAGGTCACTGGTTTTTTCTATGTGCTGACTTGTACTTATTTGGGGGTCTCTAAATTACAGTGCAGGAAGGGGAAAGATCTGTATCTGTGGATGTCAAAGTGCCCCAATGGGCCATCTGTGAAATTCTTAGTCAATGCTGGTAATGTTTCTGTTTTATTTAGTTGCTTATCATGAAAGATTTGCTTATCTCATTTGGGGTTAAAGGTTTATGGAAAAATTCTGATCAAAGAAAGTTGCTTTGTGATTTACAGTGCACACGATGGAGGAATTGAAGCTTACAGGAAATCATCTAAAAGGGTCACGGCCTATTTTGACTTTTTCATCCAACTTTGATAAAGATGCCCACTGGAAGCTTCTGAAGGAGATGATCACTCAGGCATGTTGAATTTGTTTCCTCCTTGTGTAGTTATAAACATTCTCCTGATCATGCCCTGCTTAGTTGCTTGTGATCAGTTTGCGTTGTTGATTTTGATCATGCCCTGCTTACAGCATATCTTATTCTCTTTCTTATTGAACTTTCTTCTCAGATATTTGGCATTCCCAAGGAGCACAGAAAATCTAAACCCTATCATGATCACGTCTTTGTATTCTCTATCGTTGATGACCACATTTGGTTCCGAAACTATCAGGTATTAATTTCTTAAGACATCACCAATAAAATTGGTTTACTTCAATCCTTACGGAATATATGTCATTAGTCTCATTGAGTAGTGGCGGATGTATTTTTTTATAAAAGCACCATGTATTTTATAAAAGCACTATGTATTTAAAGTCGTACCATTAGCATCCCCAATTGTAATCTACACCCCCACCTCCCACCAATTGCCACATTATTCAGCCAATCCCCCCTCATTCCCATAATACTCCTAAATCCTATCCTAATCATTTTAGTTTACTCTCCATTGATTACTCCATGGGTTGAGTACTACTGCAATTTTCTTTCGCGGCCTGTCGCATGCCTTACTTGGGAACCCTTGGAGCTGGAGGTCAAATATTCATTATGCAAGTTATGAACTCAAGGTAGAGGGGTTGCCTGATCCCTTCCTTGCACCAGCCCTTCCTTGCTGAAGGCACGGCTTCCATTTATCTTTTGGCACTCATAAGATTTTATTTCTGAGAGTATATAGTTGGTAGTTAGTTTTACTAAAACGTGGTTGGGAAGTGCATGATGAGTGCTGACAATAGTTCCAACCTAAGTTTCATGTAAACACTGATGATGCTTTTTGTGCTAATGGTTTTAACTAATTATAAGCTCAGCTAAAGTATATATAATAATGCCACATGAATATTTTAAATGACCACCCTTGTTTTCGGGAGGAGGCATAATGCATATCAAAATAGGTAGTGCACTTCTGCAATAGAAAAAGGCTTATAAAAGAACACGTATCAAACCATTTGTGCTCTAGAAACAGTGTGGTAGTATTGTCAAATAACTTCTGAGTTAAGATTTGCTTAATATCATACATATATGATTTTCCTAATACCATATTATGTTTGTTTCTACTCAAACGTCTATTTGTTTTATAATTCTTTATAAAAATGACAATTTGTTGCTTTAGATGTCGTGGCTTTTTGTCTTGACCTTTTTCGCTTCTTAAATTGCAGATATCTGTTCCTCATAACGAATCGGATAAAATAGCTCGAGGAGGCTTAGATAAAATGACCCTTGTTGAGGTTCGTAGTGATGCTTTTGTCTGCTCTATATATTACAGTATCTTTGATGACGTTTTAACTCAGAGAACTGGTTGTATATAGGTTGGACCACGATTTTGTTTGAATCCGATCAAGATATTTGGTGGCAGCTTTGGAGGTCCAACATTATATGAGAATCCGTTTTACATATCACCCAATCAGGTTAGATATCTTGATTTTGTTCATGAATGAATATTGATCCTAATGCTTAACAGTTAATATGAGAA